TTCGAAAAGTAGATGTTGCTGGCCTTGACTCAAAGCATTCTTCTGTGACATGTGCAGAACATGCAGACAAAGGGGGCTTTTCCATGGAGTGACCAATCTGTTTTGCAATAAGTGTTAACAAGTTGTGAATGTAGCTCAAATTATACATATTTGGGAGAGGGAGGTTTAGCTGCAGTTTTCCCCTGCATGTTTTAACATAGTTGAACATGGAGAGAATGAAGACCCATAATCAAAAGCTGACATCGTGGTTACCTCATACAGTACGCATTTATCATTCTGATGTTCCATCATAAACTAGAGCAGTGGAAAAAAAGTGTCGTGCCACTCACAAACTCCTTGACTACCTCTCTTTAACATGTACTTTTGTATGAATGGGTCTGATTAAAGTACAGTCGAGATCTCAAGGTGTGTGTGTGTGTCTGTGTGGTGTCTGTATGGGCATGTTGTGGAGGCGGTAGAGGAGAGAGAGCGGTGAAAATCAAAGCATCAGGAAGGGCATGGGGTTGATTGTGCTGTGTGTGCTTAGCCCACAGCCATCCACGCTGCAGGACACCGTGGAACATGTGATGGGGATGATCACCCCCCCAGCACCCGCTCCTGCCCACACCACATCCCACTCGCCCCCAAACTGTCCTTTTGACCCAGATCTCCCACACCTTCTCCCAGCAGCCCCCTCGTCTCTTCTCTTTCCCTTTTTTTGTCTCTGTCTCTCACTTTCTCGATTCTTGCCACACCAGTTGGATCCCGTTACGGACTCCAGCCACGAGCCCCGACAGGCTGCAGTACAAACAGAGCCTTGAGTTAATGTGACGAGCCAAAGAATGTCACCTCTCAGGTTTGAGTGTTAAGTGACCAGAGAAAACATATTGGTAGAGATAAACAGAAGCGCATGAGAGGAATCAAAAGAGAAGTACAGAAAGCGAGGAACATGAGGGACGGATAAAAAAAGTCTTGAAGAATGAAGATGAAGTGCGGTAGTGAATATGCGTAATTTGACAGTGCATGTACACGCACCGTGTATGAATATAAAAATGCATGTTTTAACATGAATGTCGCCTCTTGGCTCCAGCTGAGACTTTCTCTCTGGAAAAAAAGGGGGGGAAAAAAAGACCTGTCATGACACCACATGTTATTTCCACCTCAGCCGTTTTCCAGTTAATTATATTGAAATGGAAAAAAGAGATGGAAGAAGATAAAAGGAGTGATGACATTTATATCGAGTAATGCTGGAAAAAAAGGTGAGCGTACATATCTGTACATATTCAGGTGTTGCTTTGACAATTGGAGTTGACTTATTATTTTTTCAGTAGCAGAACGGTGTAGCTGCAAGTTGCATGAGGCCATAAATTGTACATCAAAGAAAATGAATTAAATGCCACAGTTTTTTCTTTTATATTTCAACTGATACATGATAGTTATGATTACAATAATTTAATCCTCAACACTTGTTGGAGAATGTCAAGCTGAATCAATTTCTAATGCTCATTATCACAGAAAAAAACATATTCCCTATTTGTACATGAAGCCAGTCAGACAATAAGGTGAAGAGGAATTCAAACTTAGTCTAACTGGTATGGTGACAAAAGTCTAGAAATTACAATTTTTTGAGGCTTTCACAATATAGATACATGATGTGGATGTGATCCTATAGACTTTTAGAAACATGGAAACATTTCACATCAGGCACACAAAGGCTACATTTAAAACACTTGCAACTGTTTTAAAGAGTCAAGCTGCTATCTTTCATACCTTACATATATATCCAGCTTAAATAAATACAATATCAAATGTTATTTTAAAAAAACATGTGTGTTTGTTTTATTTGAGTAGACAAGATAATCAGGAGAAGGGCCTTTAACATTAGGAATGGTAATAGTATCCAGCTTTCTTCTCATACATACAAAAACTGCATACACACATCAACAGCATATGAAATGTACAGTATCATTTACTTAGAAAATGATCATCGTAATATAATACGGTCCATAAGTTAACTACCTAGAAATAAAACACAACCCCTAAATCATAAAGACAGGCCATGTTCACGTCCATTGAAAATGATAATGATCTTGACATCAGCGTCTGTTCTCATCATTAACCTTTTTAAGGTCACTGTTCTACCTACTGTGTCACCTCACTACATCAACAAAGCTTGAGTTCAAATGTCACCTCAGTGGCATCAGCCAGCGGTTGCAACTACTGTGGTATAGGCTGTTTTAACTCTTATAAGGTGACATGCAGTGATACAGTCTAAGAATATTAAAGGGATCTTCCCTTATTAAGTCTCCAACCAATCACAAACAATGATATTCAGGTAAAAACCAGATTGGACCTCGGAGAAAACAGCTGGATTGTTCCAAAGAGGGCTGCAACACAAAATCACAAAGATATCCGGCATACAGTTAAAAAAAGAGTGAAAACTTCCATCTGGGTTTAACAAGCACATCATAAGCCTTTTTTTATTCTCCAGGTGTTATTTGGCAACTTAAAGATGGACCGTGGGTTTAATTTTCAAAAACGTAATCAGGATTTCCACAATCAAGATCAAAAATGCTCTGAATCACCAAATGTGTTATAAAACATGTGAGGAGATGCCTTCTGTCAACCAATAGGGATTATTTTGAGAAAAAAGTCAGAGTCAGCTCAAATTAGTCGGCATCTCTCTCTTAGAAAAGTTAGAAGAGAAATAGAGAGAATCAAACATCTGCCCAATGCTGTATTTGCAAACAGTAAACTATCCACTGATGTGCTGTCACAGATGTGTCCTGACCTGAGCTAAGGTAGATAGATAGATCAATTAAAGTCATTCAAAATATTATGAATGGCTAAATTGAACAGAGACAAGAAGAGGTGTGGCTTTTCACCTTCATGGGGAATTTCTCATATCATGGTCAGTCTCTGTGGAGATTGGAGAGAAAAACGTTAGCAAAAGGAATTGGGCCAACTGTCCCAACTATAGGACAGTATCCTCCCTGCTGGATTTATTATCTGTTTTGCCTAAAATGGTTGAAAACCAACAATATGATAAGCAAAACTAAAAACAATTTGCAGTACATATGGGGGCAAATGGAGTCTCATAGTCCTATTAGTGGGACCGGTAAGAGGGAAAACAGGGATTAGGGTCAATACAATGGCTTGTTGCAATAGTTATTCAAATTGATTTCAAGTTGTATTTTTTTGTTGAACTATCTACAAACATCTAGTCTCAATTCTGGAAAACAAGGGGAACTGTACTGGGAAAAAAAGTGGAATTATCTCACAACGGTTATCGATTTAAGACACGTAGATCTTAAATGCTGAAGCTGTGCTTTTTTAGATGTTGCTTTTGTATTCATTTAATTGTAGTGCAGCTGAACAATGAGGATAATAAAGACAGGGTACCACCTCTGGAAGCTAGGTTTTTAGAATTTGTAGTCACATCGATTGCCAGTTCATTAAAACGGTCCAGACGGTCCATAAACTGTCTACCTGTCAAAAGGATAATATCTGTGAATATCACCTCTGAGATCACAACCTGCTAATTAGTTGCCAAAAAACATGATATACTCGTGAAAAATGTACTGGCAGTCATACCCACCAACGATTCCTTTAGGTGCTTATCATAGCAGCACCACTGCTCCTGCTGCTGCTACTACGTTTACTAAGGAGCGCAACGGTGTTGAAATAAAGACAAAGAAATAAAATGTCAAACACTCAATCACAACAAGGAAGCAGTGAAACAATCTAAATATTTTCCTGCACATGAACATTTACATTCTGGATCTGTTAAAATCTAAATCTGATCACAAGCTGCACCTAAAAATGCAAAACATCTCATTTGAAGCGTCTGTATTGTTAGTATTGAGCATGAAGAGGAAGACAACAGGGAATGGAGAGAGGAATTAGGAGCAGTATATCATTTATATTCACTTGTCTATCCTTTCCATTAAAGTCGTTGTTTGACCTGTGAACTTCGCAAAGACTGGCCCCTCTAAGTCTAGCAGACTTCCAAAAACCCAAGATAAATTGTTTAGGTTCTCTGAACTGCTCTAAATCACCAGGAGAAGAGATGTGACCCTCTGAATTCTTTAGCGTTTTGAAGGCGGCGGTCGAAGTAACGGGAGCAGAGAAAGAATCTTCACTGGACGAACATCTAAGCACGAATGAACATGATGCATAAGACATCATGAATTTGTTGGTCATGCTTCTATAGCCAATATTTATTTAGTATAAGGGTTTAGTTCCAAACCAGAGTGGACAATGATCAGGCCAATGCAGAGTTGGTTGTCTGGTGTTCAGTTCCTGTCAGTTCCTCACTATCATTTTAGGGTGGCTCATTGGTGGGACTATACTGCACTCTAGTGGTCAGACAATATGAATGCCTATTGCGCACTGCTGTTCTTTAGTCCACAAGCTGATGATCATGCTGTCACACTGCCTGCTGAATAAAAGCTGTAGTGTTTAACAAAAATCTTTACTGATCGCTTTGGGACTGTTTGAAGCCTGTCTTTGATATCTAGTATATGTGTTTACAAGCCCACTAATCTGACCACATGTCTCACATAATCACAGTCAGAAAAAGATTCCAGGCTAAAATATCATGTGTCAAAAATTTTAATTAAAATTAATTTCATTGCATTTCGACATCAATGCAACTTGAATAAGTTTAACAGTGACATCTGGAGGCTATTTGGGCGACAGCTGAAGCATGACCGCAGCGCCAAGTCTCACTGCCAAGTTTTGTGAAAGCACTGTAATATATCTTGTTGTTTCACATCTGTAGTTGACACCGACTGTGCGGCTGTTTACTGATAAAATACGACAACGATATAAATTACTACAGCACATGCAAATAAATAGAAGGTAAAAAGACGTTTATTCTGCTAAAAAAGTCGATTGCATGTTGACAAAATGACATGAAGTCCAAAGCCAACAGTACTTTGTTTTTACGGTTTTTACTCGGCTTGCTCCTTTAATGAAATAGCTTTACGACAGTCGCCACGACACTACTTACACACTTTACGACTCTCTTGGAGGCTGATTCAAAATGGAGTAGGGCTTACAGGTGCTAATCCGAACCCAACCGAAATAGCCTTACAGTCATATTTGTTTTTTACAGAAACAGGTTGTTACTCGTTGGAAACATTACGAGCCGCTGCAGACATGACAGAAGAAAAGAAGTCCAGCTCTCTAGGTTTCTTTTCGAGCTACGACGATCTGAGCGACAGCAGCGATGGCAGCGACTCCGACGAGGAGGGAGAACGTCGGAAGAAGAAACCGGGGACCGACGCTACGGGAAGCGGAGCCCAGTCCTCCCAACACGGGACCAAACGAGCCGCCGGTGGAGCCCCGTTACCCAAACCGGAGGAGCTGTTCGGCTCCGTGTCCAAGCCTGCTTTCCTCTACAACCCGCTGAACAAGGAGATCGACTGGGAGAGTCTCACGGTCAAAGCTCCAGAAGAGGTAAAAACACAAGTTAGGACAGCGATGCGTAACTTACGTCATTGACAAAGGGTTACACTTATCATCGCGCGCCTAATGATGCTAGCATTGTCTTCCTGTTACCCCGTGTAACCTGAGTCTGTATCTATTCCTATGGGCACAACACTGGTATTTACTAGGAAAGTTGTCATGTTACATCGCGATATTCTGCTTAACGTGGTCCTGTACCAATCCTCTAATCAATGCTGATCATACTGTATGCTAATATATGAAGGAGTGATGATAAAGTACACGCTTTGAATCCCTTAGATGTAGCTGTGCAGTGTGCAAAGCACACTAGATGGCATTCAGCCGGTGATTTAAGGATTTAAGGATTCCAGGATCATTTATTGTCATTGTGCTTCACAGGGATGCACAACAAAAAATTCAGTTGTTGTCCATTTGTAACACAACAAACACATGACCAACAAAACACAAACAGTAGTACATTCCTGTAGTGCATCATAAGGGCTGTAAACAGCAGACAAACAATAACAATGGAGCATTCATTACAACCATAAGAGAGTTAGGACTTGACTTGTCAGCATCTCTGCTTCTTACTCCGTTTCATCTGGTGTCGGCAGCACTATTCGGCTAATATATACAGAACATAAAGAAGAAACGGGACGTGACTGGAGTAGTGCAAGTGCAGCAGTAAAATATAGGAATCCATGTAAGTTGACCCATTGATTCCAAACCAATACCACAAGACTGGACGAATGAGACACACGTCTTCATATTGGTGTTAAGGGTAACATTGTTTTATAGTTGATTTCATTGATATTTATGTAAAATATATTAGTTTCTTATACACTAAATGAGTGCGCAAGATGAGACCTATTTGGCATCATTTGTAACAGCATTTTTCACTAATATAGGCAAGTCAGCAAGAAGGTCTTGGAGGAAAAAAGATTGGTATTGTGTCATTTAAACATTCATTCATTATTGGTCCCTTTAGCTTGATGTGTTAAAATAGAATTCCTGGAAACTATCTGCAGTTTTATTCTTACAAAATAACTAAATACTTTAATTTTTGCTGAAACGTCTCTTCGTTTTGTTGTCCTAAAAGGTGACTTGAGTTATCAGTTGATAATCATAATTGTTTTGGATATAATGTCAGTTGACTAACTGATTGTTTCGGCAATGTTTGACCAGCACAGCACATCGTTGCCTTCTTGTAGACAGACTACCTGTGACTTATGTGATATACTCAGTACAGGTTTTAATATCGATATTTAACTTCTCTTTATGTAGGGGAAAGAGTTCAAACAAACTCAAAGGTTACAGCTCATTCTTTGGAGCATTTTATGTGTCTAGTTTAGTAAATATTACAGACCTTTAATTTGTTACCTCCTCTAAGCCAGTTTACACCCTGTTCTTCTGTGCTACCTGAAGCCTGCCAGAGAGTTTAAGCCGTGGAAGTCAAACGCCGTGCCCCCTCCTGAGAGCTACACTGTAGAGCCAGAGAAGAAGAAGGGACCTCCCCCAGGCATGGACATGGCAATAAAGTGGTCCAATGTGTACGAGGACAACGGGGAAGATGCACCACAGCCGTTCACTGGCAACGCCCGGTTCTTACCCACAGAGGAGGAACTCCCTGAATCAGGTTAGTCCTGAAATGCAATGCTCCGCTTTGAACCTACATGGAAATAGTGCCTATTGATATGTTTGAGTGGCATGCTGTTGAGTAATTCAAAAATTCATTATATCACGCTCTCCATCCAACCCCCAAAATCCCTAAACCAACCACCACCACCACTCTCCTGGTGATCAGATGAGGAATCAGAGCTCGACCTGTCCGCCAAGAAACGGCGGGTGGAGACCTTCCAGCAGAAGGAGAAGAGGAAGAGGGACATGGGACAAGCGACCTCGGACAAGAATTTCGTAGAGGAGGAGAAAAGGATCCTCAGGCAAAATATCGATTGAGGCCCAAACTCTCCTGCAACAATCTGTTTTTTAATTTAAATATTTTATGTCGGCTGAAAACGCTCAAAGATATAAGCACAGTGGTCAAGTAGGTGGTATGCTGCAAAACATAAATAGACATTTCACCTACGTGTTGACATCATTTGCAATATTATAGTGTTTGTTTTGTTATTAAAGGACTTTAACAGTCCCACCGTTAACGTTTTAAGAACTCAGGTTCTGGTAAATCTCCACGGACTGTTTTCCCAAGTATAATGAAAATCCAAGTGTTTTATAGTCTGAGTTGTATTTTGCATAGTTTTGGTCATCATCCCTCTTTGATTTTACCCACCCAGCTGTCTTCACGGGGATGAGGGATATCCCGAGACACAGCTTTACAACGTGTACTGGGCATCACCTTCGCTTTACTTCCCAATATGTAGTCTAGAGACGACAAGGCGGAGTGAGAGTTTAAACCTGCCAGATTGCTCGTTTGAGTCTTTGCAAAGAAGCCGGTGAATATAAATGTTATCATAATGATGAAGGCCAAGTGGTTGAACTTAAAAAAAACAGGGTTTAGCCTGCTGTGACACATTGAACATAAACGTGGTTAGGTGGCTTTGCCTCTTGTTTGCTTTAATTTAACGAGCTGAAATAACAGTGAAGTCCAGCTGTGGTGCTTTTCTTTGTCTGTGTTTGTCTTGTGTGGTATAAAATATCTAATCACCACTGACATATGAGATATATGTGTGTGTGTGTGTGTGTTGTGTTAATACAGTGACTTTCCTATAAAAAAAAAATGTGATTAAAATGGCTGTGAATCTGTTGAAATTACATTTTTTTAAACTGCTTGTTCTTCCTGCTTATGAGCACTAGATGTCGCCCTTAAGCTACACTAGGAAACGCTCCCTCCATGTTTGTAGTGAAGTCTGCTTCACTTTGACTGTGTGAACATTGGGCATCCAAACTACAAGAAGGGGTCCATGCTGTTTGTCAGGAGGGGAGTTCTGATCTTCACTTTGGAAGTTAGTCTCATCTCAGTTCTCTTGAGATACTCGATGCATACAGACCGTTCAGTCTCATGTACCTTGTATTACGCAACACTTTACACCTGTGTGAAATAAAACGTCTTGCATGTTTAGTATCCAAGTGTTTTTGGAATGTTGTTCTGTTTTATGGACCTTCTGTTTCTGCCCGCAAATCTGCTCATCAGTGTAAACTGGTCGTGTGCAGATCATTCTAGAAATTGTTTTTAGTGTTCATCATAAACCACTTGGTCATATACAGTATTTTACTGGAGAACGCTGCTCCGTCAGTCATTTGAAAATGACTTAATTAAGACACAATTTCCGAAAGCGCTACAGAAAGTGGGCATGGGTGATATTAATATTTCATGTCATGATTATCCTGGACGAAATAGCTGCGCTTCATCGTTAAATTATGCTCAAACATACTGGAATCACTTTACATTTTGTTGAGAAACATATTTGTATTCCATCACACAGAGGACACACAATGCTTTTTTTTTTAGGGAACCAAACAATCTTAAATAAGGTAATCATAAATCATGCGGTCGGCCATGACGCCCCCCGTTGGTCACATTCAGTGGAAAGCAAAGTTCTAAAAAACGGCCTAAATACTTTTTGTTACAATCTAGGTAATAGACTATAGATTCCCCAAATCATTCTTTGAATTTCTGTGACCATTGGAGCAGATATAATGGTTTCCCAAGCATTGAAAGAAAAAGAAAAAAGTTTCCACTTTGTAACAGTTTAGTGATCAGGGGAATTCCTGGCCTATCTGCTGTTGTGGGTTGACGTGAAATAGTGCAAAAATATGCTACTGATAAGATTCCAGCCTCCAGGTATGTGCCTGGTCTGAAACAGCAGCAGCAGACTGATTTTATCGGCCATATTTACGCACAAATAACTTCTCTCTCTGTACTGTATGAGTAATGACCAGCGAGGTCACATCCATCAGTGTTTAGGAATCAGTGACTGGAAAGTTCCCAGATAATATATTATGCAATTCTCTATTCGTAGATTTGTGTGGAAAACATAAATTCCAGCTTATTTTGTGCTTTTGAATTTGTACTCTCTGATGATATGACATCTACTGTATTCCTGGACCCTTTTGTATCATAGAGATCATGTTACCAGAGGAAAGCATTTTGTCGTCCCACTGGATGTCACAGATGACTGACCTTATCTTCATCTAATAAAAGAAAACATCTTGGTCTTATGTTACCCTCCATACTATCACAGCATCAGTCACTGAAGTCCCTAAAAGATACATTTCACCTCAACAAAATCCCCAATGTCTCAATAAAATAACAAGGTTTACGTGCCGCGCTCACCCTCAGGATTTCAACTATTGTGACTTATTAACTAAATTGCGAGAGGAGGAGTGTTTTCTGGTGCAGTCAGGGCGAATAAAAGTGTCAGTCACACTAACCGTTTATCACTGTGACACCTTTACTGGCAGGTCAAGACCTCATGATGGCCATTGAGCATTCAGGGACGTTCACTGAGCTGGCTGCCTACAGCTGCTGCTATCTGACTTATGACATTTTCACACAGTCGGCACAATGTCGCAGCTTGTATGGAAATCGAGTTGTGGCTGTTGCGTGGTGCTGCAGGGGACCCGAGGCCGACACAAGAAGAATGGTTTCCCCCCTCTTGTTTTTCTTTGATAGAAGACTACGAGTCTGCAGCCCAGCTAGCACCTCTGTGAGGCTGTAATCAAAGTCACAGTGGTGCTCTGAGCTAACATGCACACAGTGCTAACAAGCTGATGAATATTCACCACGTTCATCTTCTCAGATGAGCAGGTTAGCATGCATTTGCTAATTAGCACTTAACACTAAGCACAGCTGAGGCTGGTGGGGATGTTTTGCAGATATGGGCATGAAATGTCAGGGAATCAGTCAGTAGAATTGATCCTCTAGGGGCCTTTAAATATCTAGTTGTCAAGCTATTCAAAACGAACGATGACAATGTCTCATGGTGGCACCAAAGCCAGTGATTCATCATCTGGGAACCAAGAATGTCTGTACATAATTGCATGGCAATCCATTCGATGGTTGTGGACATATCTCAGTCTGGATCAAAGTGGTCGACCAACTGACAGATGGACATTTCATTCCATGAAGCCATGGTGCTAGCGCAGTGTTTCCCAAACCACAAGCGTATTTGTGCCTGAATGAAGGTTCCTGACCATTATTACTGCCATTTCTGCATCACTTTACATTATCTTGAATAGGTAAACCAGCCCCTTTGAAGAGATATACGTTCACTTCGTTATAAGCATGTACTATTGAAAACATGTATACATGTTAAATACTTTATAAATGAGACCAAATAACTGAATTTAGCTGGAGTTAACGGGCTATTTTCTTCATTTCCTATCATTTAAACAAACAGAATGTTCTCTATCCTTTCATATTAGATTCAATGTTATAAGTAAGTTACAGTTATCAGAACAGTAGGAACATTCAGGATCCCTGATGTGGCTTAAATGTGTACACCAGAACAGTGTTGAATAAAAGACTACGGAGGAAATTTTGCAAATTTATTTGGCGACCCTAATAAAATCTTCTGCGGACCCACCTGTGGGTCTCCACCCAGTCTTTGCCAATGACGGTGTGGCTAAAATCTTGCAAACACTACACCAGTTTAGGACGCTGGTTCCATGTCAACACACCCGCTGACTTGTCGACTTCACTGAAACCTTCACTCGTCCTTGGATGTTTTCCAGAGGCAAACAGTGGCTTTTCACACCAGCAGTCATGCCGATCGTGCGAAACAGATGTTCAGCAGAAGAGAAAACCTCTGTGGCGCCGGAGACAAACAGATCCCTCTATAACCTGTCATTTGAGCTTTCACTTTAGATATGAAGAATATTAAGAGCGTAATTATCAATGTATGGTATATGTTGAAATCACGTCTCTTTTTAGAGAAAACAAAAAAGATTAAAATGACTGCCTGGCTCAGAGAAGACAGTGGTCTAGATTCTAGAAACCACAGATTCTTTCCTCTTATTTAGGGTGGAGTCAAATTTTCCAAACAATGGTGAGGCAGTAATATAATATTGTAAATTACAGGAAGATTGTGGTTCTGGCCACTGATCACAGCTGAATGTTTCCAATCCCTCTTGATGTGCTGGTTCCATTCCTCCAATAACACCTAAGAACATCTGTAGGATTTCATCTGATCTTCATCGGCTGCCCAAAACAATTCAGAACTTGGGATAACAAATTACTAAGAAATGTAACACATTTAGGAATGGAGAAACAATCTCAGGAAAATAATACAGTTGGTTTTGAAACTCATGTACAGTAAATACTTTGTCAAACATACTAAATTTCCATTTATTTCTATTGTAAAAATACCTAAAAAGTCTAAACTTAACTTATACATAGTTATTTTTAGGCAAATGATGCCTGCCTGCACCAGTGAAAACTTTTAGGAGCAGTTATAAAATCACAATACAAAGCTACCACAAATATGGCATTAACAACAATATCAATTTATTTAAAATGTGGGAATCTTAAGGTTTAGCACTTTGAAAGAAATCAATGTTTTATCTGCTAAACTCTCTTTAAATCATTGATTTCTTTAAAAAATATTGAGTGCAGTCTTAAATCTAAGGTAACACTTGCAAAGGTAACTGATAGCAACACGGTGATTTAGTTTTCGTAGAGACAGAAGGAACATGAAGATGGACTTGTAAAGCTAAAGATTTTAGGCCTGGACACATGATGAATGCACTCAGAGAAAGGAACGTTCAGCTCAGACATGATAGAGAACAGTAGCAAGAGACAAGCAGTCTGACCTCCCTCATGATAACCATGTCAGAGGTGGTCTGTTGATAAGGATATGGAACAGTCGACTAGACGGGCCCAGTGTGTGTGTGTGTGTGTGTGTCTCAGTCAGCGGCGGCCTTCTAACCTGGCTGCTGCTCGGTAATGGAGGAGATACAATCTGTAAGAATTCTGTGACCTCCACCCTTGTCCTGCCGTTTACCCAATCAGGCTTAATTGGGTGCAGGGAGTTGTTTTGCTAGGTTAGCTCACATACTGTAGGTCTTCAGTGTTCTTTTCAGTGGGGATGTGTATAAAAGTAACACCACTAATTGTGTTTGAATGTATTCTGGACCAATCCATTCAAAATTGTCCAAGCTGAAACTAATAGTCAATCGAGAGACTGTCTTGATAAACTATTAATCGTCATGCATTATCTTTCAAGCATAAAAGCCAAGCATTCTGCTGGTTACAGCATCTTCAATGTGTCTTTGTTGCAGGTCTTTGTGTTCTACTAAAAGCAATGAAAATAAGGTTAAGAAAAGGTTAATGCAGGCCAATTCCATTATCTTTATCTTATCCAGATCACTATCCTCCCTGGCATCATTGATCCTAAAATGTTTGATTAATGAGTGCTTTGCTTTCATTTTCTCTATTGGCAGCTTCTGTTAAAAGACGTTTAGGTTGTAGAGTCTTATACCGGCAGTGGTAAAGTCATCCCAGACTTAAACAGTTCCCCCATAAGTCACTGTGTGTGCTTCACAGGAGATAACACTGACAGCTAAGAGGGGCCTTATTTGTTATGTTTTTTATGCTATGCATGTTATTAATATAACACTCACAGATGTTCCAGTCAATCTGAGCAAACAGAATATTTAGGTAATATGGCAGCTATCTCATTCAGGGTTATATCTATAACAAGATAAGAAGCTTATCTGTGTTCAGGACAGCACAATATGATGTTTGCTCACACCAACTTAAACACTGAACGCTCACGTTAACACCAATCAGGTCACTGATATTGGCCTTTTATTATGGCTTGGATATTAACTTGTATGGGTTGTAATGTTTGTCCCTGCTGTGATCACACAGATGCAGCAAAACACTGCAATGCATTTTATTCGTTTTCAAATGATTTAATTACATTATTGTTTATGCTCATAAAGATTTTTAAAACGGACTCCTTGTTTTATGGAAATCAGTCAAAGTTAAAGATTTTTACTCTACACAAAATGTGGCTATTAAAAGGTTCACTCTAAAGCTATAAGATACATTGTTCAAACGCTAACATACAAATCAACAGCTTTAAAAAGACACTGCTGTGGATATAAATGCAGTGAGGCACAATA